GGGTCTAGCAGCAACTCAGAGGCAGCACCAAGGGAACCAAAAGACCTCCAGAGCAGGAGTCACAACAGAGGCTGAAGAAGGGAAGAGGGAGAAGGGATGGAAAGTCTAGGATGAGTACTGGACCTTCGAGGAGGAGGATCTTGAAGAAAGAGGCCAAAGACGACTGGAAGAGGCAAGGAAGGGAGGGAGCGGGGAATGGGAGAAACAAAGGAGGCGAGAGGAGACGTGTCCACCACAGACACGCGGTATCTTGGGGCAGTTGTACACAAAGCCCTTCCCGAGCAACCCGCTGATTATCCAATGAAGCCTTATTCAAAGAAGAGACGACTGGGGAATTTCAGCCAAAGGATGATGGAAGGCATTGAGCCTCCTGGGGTGCAGATATGAGGTTGAAACAAATGGGGAATAAGAGGGAGGAAATGATGGCTAATCATATGCTCTGACATTATAGAAATAACTTTTTAAATGAGAGAAGAAAGGAGAGGAAAAGAGGACTGATGAGGGGAGATCAGGGATGGGAGTTCAGGCTCCTAGAGCATCATCAAAGCTAGGAACAAAACGGTGGCAGCCAAGGTAAGGAAAAGGGGGACTCAAGGAGTCCCACAAAGATTCCCTAAATAAAAAATACACTATACATGTCAAAAGTAATGAATACAACACGTTTTTAAAAACAAAGAAAACAGACCAAATAAAGACACACAGCAAACATAAGATATACAGCAACTATAATATACAAAATGAGACACAGCTGAGATTGGTCATATTATTTCTATTAATAAATCTGAACTTGCCACTAAAAAAGCTCTTCAGACTAATTTATAAAGCAAACCCAAGGTCCGTACTGTTTGTGAGAAATTAGACTTCCGTGATTCAGAGACAAAAACAAGGGGAGGGAGGGAAGGGACACAAGCACGCACCCTCAGTGAGAGAAGGAACCACTCTCTTGTGATCTAGAAGCCAAGGAAGAAGAACTCAGGCTCGAAACCTTCCAAGAGACTAGAAAGGACACTTGGGTGGAGCCTGGGGGGCGGGGGTTCTGAGCATCAAAGCCCACGGAGCCAGGATGGGTGGCCAGGCATTAAAAGGGATCCAAGAGATACAGGCTGGTCTCCTGCAGCTTGATTTGCTCACTGATGTTTCCGTTTTGCAGCCATACATGCATAGCTATTTTGGACAGGAAATTTTACTATGGAGCATCTTACAGAAAAAAATAACTGCAGTGGCCAGATACTGTGTCTCTTCACCTCTTTATTTCCATGGGAATAACTGATTTTACCACGAAATTTCTGATAACTGCAAGGTTCCCAGGGATCTCATAATCAAGAATTGAAGAGATCAGCCAGTCCCATAAAAAAGACTCCTGTCTGGAAGCAGTACTGTTAGTCTATTCTCACACTGCTATAAAGATATACCTGAGACTGGGTAATTTGTAAAGAAGAGGTTTAATTTGCTCATAGTTCTGCAGGCTGTACAGGCTTCTGCTTCTGGGGAGGCCCCAGGAAACTTACAATCCTGGCCGAAGGCAAAGGGGAAGCAGGCACATTTTTCTCATGGCTGGCAGGAGAGGAGTGGGGGGAAGTGCTACACACTTTCAACCAGATCTCATGAAAATTCAGTATCATAACAAGGGGGAAGTCCACCCCCAAGATTCACCTCCCACCAGGCCCCTCCTCCAACATTGGGGATACAATTCGACATGAGATTTGGGTGGGGACACAGAGCCAAACCATATCAAACAGAGTTACTGTTCAGTTACTTTAGCCCACAAGAATTGAACATTTTCTTCTTGAGTCCTCTGGAAACCTCCAGCTGCAGATGATCACAGTGCTATGACCTGGGAGACCCAGTCCATGCTGCCTTGTAAGTCTAGGGTGGAAACAGTGGGCTAAGGGGTTGAGTCCCTTTCCTCAGAGTGGCCACTGAATGGCAAACCCAGAACCAGCAGGCCTGTACACACGATGTTCCCATTCATGCATCAGCGATTCCATCCCCAGGAAGTTTGACACCCTGGGTTTGTACCAGAGGAAATACATGCATCCTTTAGTCAGTGACTCCTCTTGGCATATGTCAGGGAGAGACCTGGGTGGCTGGTGTCGGGGCAAGGGTGGGTCACCACTTCTCTAGCTGGCAGTTTGCTATGATCCACAATACCAAAACTAACTGTTCCCATTTTGCTCTTGCTGACAAGTGCTGCTCAGCAGGCAGTTCTGGACTAGCTCTCCTTTTTAGTTAGTACTCAGTGCAATGAGAGCCACCAATTGAAATTGCTGCATTCACACCTGGGGCCAAAAATTATCTTAAGCCAAGGAAATGAAGATTCAAGTGTCATTTTAGAGTGAATTGGAAAACTCAGTATGTTATCAACAACACAAGCATTAGGATAATTTCTTACAAAGTGAAGTGAGGCTGTAAGGTGCCTCTCTGGTTTGGGACCAGGTCTCAGGACCCCACAGAATCTTGCCCGAAGCCATGGAAGACAGTCCTGCTGGCTGCTGTGTCGCCCTCGGTGCTCTCCCTCCTCCCTCCCTCCTTCCCTCATCTCTCCTCCCTATCGCTCTCCTTTCTCCCCTGTGGCCCCTTCCTTCCCCCTTGCTTCAGTCATTTGCAGACCACAGCCCTGCGCTGAGGAGTGTTTTACAGACATTTTTCTGATCTGTACTTCTTCTCATCTCAGTACATACTGTGTTAGAAAAGTAGCCTTGCTTTACAGAATGGTTTGTGTTTGGTTTTCAAAATGCATCTTGCAAACTTAAACAAATCAACCAGCAAAAAACAAACCCACTAAAAACTGGGCAAATGACATGAACAGACACTTCTCAAAGGAAGACATACAAGCAGCCAACAAACATATGAAAATATGCTCAATATCACTACTTGTCAGAGAAATGCAAACCAAAACCACAATGAGAGACCATCTCACAGTAGTTAGAATGGCGATTGTTAAAAAAAAAAAAAAATTCAAACGAGGACACATGCTGGGGAGGCTGCAGAGAAAAGGGATCACTTACACACTGCTGATGGGAGCATCAATTAGTTCAGCCACTGTGGAAAGCAGTGTGGAGAATTCTCAGAGAACGTAAAAGAGAACTGCCATTTGACCCAGCAATCCCATTACTGAGTCTAATCTATCTAACAGAAAATAAATTGTTCTATCCAAAAGACACATGCACTCACATGTTCATCACAGCGCTGCTCACAATAGCAAAGACATGGAATCAACCCAGGTGCCTGCCACCAGTGGATTGGATAATCACCAGCCTGATGAGCGGCAGGGTAGGTTTTCACTTCCACAGTCCAAGCTTCCTCTGAACACGTATTTAATGCTATACTGAAAGCATAGTGAGTGAGACCCACTGCTGTAGCTGTGAGATCGGTGCCACTCAGGTGAGTGTGTGCAGGGGTTAGGAAATTGCAAAGAAATTTTGGCATTTTAGAGAGCAACTGAGGATTTGAGGATTGAAAAGAAAAGTGAATAGCACTGGGAACTCAGGGGAGGTAGCCAGGTGGCTAGAAATTCTAGAAGCAAAGCCTAGTCCCTGAGTGGCAGTGGGTGGTTTGGGTGGGACTCAGGGATGAGGCCTAGTTTATGTCTGAGTCATCGCATCCCTCAAGGGATCACGGGATTTGCTCAGGGATCCAAACAGGAAAGTGAAGGAAGCAGAGGAGAAAGAAGCTCCTGTAAACTTCCAGAATCTCAGGAGTGCTGACATCTGCTGCAGCTGGTGTTAGCTTCCTGCAGCCAGGAGTGTGCCCTCTGCCCTGTGTCCGCTGTAGCCAATGCAGGAGAGTAAAGGCTTCACCTCCTCCTCTATCCTTCAGGCCCTGCATGGGCATTTCCCACTGGAGGACTCTCATCTGGCACTACATAGGAAAAACAGCTGGAAGCTGAGGAGACAGGGAAGACGCCAAGCTGACTGACATCCAGCCCACACATGGGCTGCAGTAAGATGACCCAAAAATAAAGTAAGATAACCCCCTGGAACACAGCGGGGAGTTTGGAGGGAAGTGACAGTGGAGACAGCAGCTATGCCATGCTCTGAGGATTTGCAGAAATTTGCACAGAACATGAGTGAAAAAGGCTTGACCTCATCTGCCCTAGATCCAATGGGGCAGGGAGACGGCAGCTAGGGATGCTGACCATGATGGAGTTGCTAACGCATCTTCCTTCAACTTCAGAGTTGCATATATTTACCCACATTTCCAGCTGAGGAAACTCTTAATTTCTGAATTGGTTCAATAAGCAGCACTTAAAATATTCTTATTTTTATTTTTTGAGACAGAGTCTTGTTCTGTTGCCCAGGCTGGAGTGCAATGGCATGATGATCTTATCTCATGTATTAGTCCTCCTGGCTGCAATAACAAAATACCACAGGCTGGGTGGTTTCAACAACAGAAATTTACTTCTTGCAATTCTGGAAGCTGGAGGTCCACGATCAAGGTGCTGGCCAAGTCTTCCTGGTAAGGGCTCTTCTTGGCTTGCAGATGGCCAACATCTCACGTATCTTCACATGGCAGAGAGAAAGAAAAATCTCTCTTCTCTGCTTAGGAGGCCACCAATTCTACTGAATTAAGGCTCCACCCTTATGATGACCTCACTTAACCTTAGGAATCTCCTAAATGCCATATTGCCAAATATACCCACACAAGATTAGGGCCTCAATATAAAATTCTAAGAGGACAAAATTCAGTCCACAGCACTTCATGCTGAGCAACTGGGGGTAAAAATCTCCTTCTCCTGTTTAAGGTGATCACATCATGAGAATGTCTGGAATTGTCACCAGAAATACAAACTTATTTCAGACAGGACGATGGTGACATCTGAGGAAATGTGAAAACGTCCTTTTGCCACAGAAAGTAAAACTTCATGACATAGCTTTTTTTTAAAACTTTGCGTTTTTGAGCACAGTCACTTTACCTGCACCACCACAGTTTAAAGACTAAAAATATTCAATCCAGCAACCCCTGCTTTCTCTAAGTCCAAAACTAAAGCAATCATCAAGTTTTGAAAACAAACCAAAAACTTTATTTACAAAAGTAAATTTTAACTTGCTTTTACATATCATATAATGTTAATGATGACAGGAACAGATTTAAAATACATTGAGGTTTGTGCAGTTCATTTCCCCCTAGTTATACCATGAAACTTTATAAGCATTGCTTTAGCTTTGATGTTTGGTCACATTTTCTGTTCAGAAGTCATGTTTCAGGGTAGGTTCACTGCCAGAACACTGTCACATCACCATTGGCTGTGGATTTCCAAGAAGCAAAGGAGCCAATCTCAGCAAAGCTCGCACTGGCATTTTTAGCTGCTTAAATTTGAAGAGCAGTTCAGCAAAGCTTGTGCTCCCTAAAACAGAAATGCAGGGGGAAGGTCACATCTCTAAATAAATTCAGCCATATTTCTCCTTTCAAGGAAGCTTCAGAAACACAATCATGTTTAAAACAGGCATTCTTCCCTTCTAAAATGATTATCCAAAGACAATATTTAACATTATGAAATTCCCTAATACATTGTAATGTAAGCTGAGTATCCCTTTTCCAAAACGCTTGGGAAAAGAGGTGTTTTGGACTCTGGATTTTTTTTTATTTTGGAATATCTGCATTACACCTACTGGTTGAACATTCTTAATCCGAAAATCCCAAATCCAAAATGCCGTAATGAGCATTTTCTCTGATCATCATGCTGGCACTCAAAATTTTTTGAATTTTGAAACACTTCAGATTTCAGATTAAGGACACTCAACCTGTATATGATTTGATAGAATTTACCCATTCTAGACTTCAGTAAGTGGCCTATAACTATATGTGAAACTACTAATATTGTTTAATTTTATATATATATGTGTGTGTGTGTGTATATATATAATTCTTTATACACACACACGCGCACATGCAGATCTTTTAAGATAATGAGCACAAGTGCCTGTCTACCTTCAATTACTATCTAAGTGATAATTTACTGGTTCTAATATGGTTGACCATTGAACAACTCTGTTAGTCCACCCTGCTCTAAAAAGAAAGTCTATGCTTTAAAATGTCTTCCTTTTATTTTTAGTAGTTTGACTATTAATGTGACTAGGTGTAGTTTTCTTTGTATTTATCCTGCTTAGGGTTCACTGTGGGTTAATATTTAACATCACTTTTCAAAATTCTTAGCTTCTGTCTCTTCAAATATTGCTTCTAACTCATTTTCTCTCTCCTCTTATTCTCTTATTCCAACTTCATGCATGTTTGATTTTTTTTCACAGTTTCCACATATCTCTTATGCTCTTCTCTGTATTTCCTTCCCATTCTTCCCTCTGTGCTTCAGTCTATTTACTTTCTACTTGTCTTCCAGCAAGTAAGTGTCTTCTAGTTCACTTCAAATAATCCAAACTGAAATCTTCGTTTCAGTTATTACATTTTTCAGTTATAGAATTTCCATTTAATCCTTTTTTATTGATTCCAGGTTTCTGTTGAAATTCCTTATCCTTCCCTCCATTTTCCTGGAAATGTTAGTCATAGTTATTTTAAGTCCCAGTTTGATAACTCCAATATCTGAATCACAGATAGGTCTGTTTCTATTATTATGGTTTTTTTTTTTTTCTTACTATGTCTCGTAATTTTTGATTCAACACTGAATCCTGCAGACTAAAAACCTCCTATGAAGGTTATATTTTCTTCTGTCAGGTGGGTAGAAAGCATAGAGATCACCTCAGTTCTGCTCTAGGCTAATTGTAGGTCTGGTCTGCTTGAAGTGAAGGTAAAACTGAAGCAGACCGGACCTAAAATTAGGCTAAAGCAAGCTTAAGGGTTGGCCATGCTATTAATTCACCTAAGAAGCTGGATGCTGATCAGAGCCACTTTACTTCAACAAGCCTTGAACTCCACCCTTTGCCTCCTCAGTCCTACGCTGCTGCTGACATTTTTGCTTACATTTTTGGCCTTGTGGCTTCTGCTAGATATCTTGAAGTCTTATCCCATGTGTATGCAGGCTAAAATTTCGTTAAGTAACTCAAGAGAAAAGTACATCCAGACTTCGAGTTATGATTCCTATTGGTCTCTCCTGCCTGAAATTTTGTTCCTCAAGTTCTAGGCTCATGGGCAGTCACAAACCCAACCTCTGGCCCCTCAGCCCAGCAGCACCGCTGCTTTTTTGCTGGGACTCTACTTCTTGTGCTATAAACTGGCAAATGCCTTTCAGGGAGAAGCTAGGGCGAATATAAAGCTCTCCCTGTTGTGCTTCCCTCTTCTTATGTATTTTGTTCAGTTTTATATTTGTTTTTGAGGGCAAGTGAGTCCATTACAAGCAATTCCATTATGGCCATAACTAGAAGTCTCTAGATAGTAAACTTGTCTCAGAGGCTTGCAAAATGGCAAAATGTAACTAAACATCAAGTTTAAATGATTAAATGGAACAATCTTTGCTCTTCTGAAAAAATATCTTTTCAGCCTCAATTAAAGGGCAACAATTTAAAAGTCATATAAATAAATAAGGGTGCTTCGAATTCATTACATCTTAGTATTCAGCTTAATGGATACACCTTTTATCTGTTTCTATATTCTGAAAAATACAATCAGTGCTAACACTATTAATTTTTTAAACTATTATAAACAAATTCAAACAAAAAATTAGGTACCTGTTAGTTGTAAAGCTTTATATTATTAGAAATTAAGATTATGTGTGATTTTTAAAAACTCAACTGAAATCCCAGAAAATAAAGAAAAGTAACTTTAATAAAAAATCAATTAATAGAGAAGAATAACATGGAATAGTTTATTAGCATAGACCAGTGTTTGGGGCTCTGTAAAGAAGAATCCATCCTTTTCTGAATAAAAATGAAAGTTATTCACATATAAAGTTGATAATTTTTCTTTTCTCTTCCAAGACAGTTCCTAACAATGACACTGAAATACCAATGAAGAGGAAACTCAAAGTAGGGACAGTAACTCACTAGAAACTCTTCCTACCAAGAAACTAAAACATAAAGGGGTGGGTAATAGAGGTACTAAGAGAGGACTCAGATATGCAATTACCTTCTAGTCCTAAAGGTGGCAGGTGTCGTGGAGCTGGCACGGAGTGGTAGACGAGGAAGCAGGCCAGCATGCTCAGCTGCGATTCCTCCAAGGGCTGCCCACTGAGGTAGGCATGCACACACATATCACCCCCAGCTGTGAGAGAAACACAAATGGAATAGAACCAACTGACGACAGAACTAAAAGGAACAAGAAATACCTTATTTCTATTACTTTTTCATCAAGAACTTATTGAACACATAGCATATTTAAAGCACGTTCCATAGTCGGTATTGAGGCCACTGTGACAAGCTAGACTGAGTCCCTGTCATTGAAGAATTTAGAGTGTTGTTGGGGAAGACAGATATTACACAAACTGATGCATAATTATGAATTGTGATGAGTGCTATAAAGGTGCAGCGGTCACGTGGTTGTCTCCCTGAAATACCCCTTGTCACACCCTTCCCTCCACTACGTTTTATAATATTTGATGGGGCTGATTCAGCTCCACAACTGGATCCATATTAGTCTTGGCCAGAAGTTCTCAAACTTTAACATATATCAAAATCACCTGGAGGGCTTGTTAAACCACAGATGAGTGGGCCCCACTCCCCCAACAGAGCAAAGCTTCTGATTCAGCAGGTCTTGGGTGGGGCCAGAAAAACTCCATTTCTATTAATTTCCCAGGTCATGCTGCTCCATGAACCACACTTTGAGAATCACTAGTCTTGGGTGATCAAGGCAATCCCATTCCCCTGAACAGTATTAGTTCAGAGACAGGCAAACCCAGGCTATTTTTTCAATAAGAGACATTCTCTGCCACAGGGATAGATTGAGGGATGTGCATCAGATGCAACTGGAGACAGATACATGAGGAGGTGCTTATTTTAATGACATGCTTGCTGGAGGCTCCCGGGAAAGAAATTCCCCCATTCTTATCACAAAGCTCCTAGAAGCAACTCTATTCTTCCTCTGGGCATCACGCTGAGCTAGAGGTGAACATGTTATAGCCATTTGATTACCATCCAAAAAAAGCACTGAGGATAAAGTCATGGCACAGAATGTAGCTGATGGGAGCTCAGAGAAATGGAGTTGAAGACACTGGAACAAGGTGACCCTTTATGTACCCTACCTGTGGACTTGTAATAACATAATTTGTGTCCTTACCTTTTAAGGACAGGTTAAGTCAGGCCTTCTGTTACTTGCAGACAAAGGCATTTTGATACAAAAAAATGGTGAGAGTATGAGCAAGCAGGCTAAAGGATGGCAGGAAAGCTGCCTAAGGTAGAGTGGTCCTAGAAGGCCTGGGAGGAGAGGTCATTAAAACTGAGGCTGCAAGGATGAATATGAGTTTGGCAGGTGAAGAATGAGAGGAAAAGGTTCTAGGGAGGGAAAACAGCATATTCAGTGGCCCCACAATGAAAAGGAGCTCAGTGCTTTTGAGGAAGTGGAAGGGGCCAGGGTAGTGTGAGGAGCAACTGGTGTAAAAGAGGCTTTGTTGAGGAAAACCGGCACCTTGCAGGTCACGCAGGCTCTGGTGCCACACAGTAAGGATTTCTTTCACAACTGAATCAGGAGCCTTTGAAAAAGCTTTAAGCAGGAGTGTTAGATCATTTTATTCTTTAAAAGACTTCTGTCCGTTAACTTGAGATGATTAGAACAGAGATGACAAAAAACAAGGAGGCTATTTAAAGGGCTATAACAGGCCAGGTGCGGTGGCTCATGCCTATAATCCTAGCACTTTGGAACGCTGAGGCAGGTGGATCACGAGGTCAGGAGTTTGAGACCAGCCTGGCTAAGATGGTGAAACCCTGTCTCTACTAAAGATACAAAAACTAAGCAGGCACATTGGTGGGTGCCTGTAATCCCAGCTACTCAGGAGGCTGAGGTAGGAGAATCGCTTGAACCCAGGAGGTGAAGGTTGCAGTGAGCCGAGATCATGCCATTGCACTCTAGCCTGGGCAACAGAGCAAAACTCTATCTCAAAAACAAAACCAAAAAAGACTATAACAGTGGTCCAGGCACAAAATAATCATTCTGTTGTAGCAGAAGTAGTAAAATGTGGACAAATTCAAGAAATATCCATGATGAGGATTCAAAGTCTTCAGCAATGGGTCAGCTATTGCGGAGGAGGGGAGAAGGGAACGAGGGAAAGGAGCAATGATGATTTCCAAAGGGTCAGCAAAGGAATGACAGTGAAATGTGATAAATACACTGAGAAAGAATGGTAAAAAAGGATTTTTTTTAAAAAATTGGGAAAATGTGTTGTCACAAAGTGAAGGGAGGTCCATTTCAAGAAGCAAAATGTAGCTTGAAGCCTCACCATTGTAGAGATGGAGTGAGATGAAAACTGTGGACACCACTGAACACAGTTATGAGGATGTCAGTCTACTGGGAGGTAGAAACATTTAGGTTTGGGGGAGGCAGCAGAGGGAGACGGACTAAAGGAGAACAGACGAGGTTCTTCTTTGAATAGCTCATCGTGAAGGAGAGCATGGTGGTTCAGCTTTTCTTCAATGACTTTCTTATGCCTACTAGCATTTTGTTTAACTGATTTTCTCTTATTGTTTTTCTGTTTTGTGTTTCATTGGTTTCTGCTTTTATTTGCTTGCTTTGGGTTCACTTTGCTTTCCTACTGTACTTGACAAGTCTTAAAAGAAAATAAAAAAGGACAATGCCAAAAATTGCATTGTACTCCACTGCTGGTGGGAAAGTAAAATGGTACAGTTTGGAAAATTGAGTGTGGCAATCGGTGAAGGTAAGGATGATGCAAAAATAGTAGAATGTTGGTAACTACTGAAATTGGTGATGGGATATTAGTCTACTTACTCTGTATAGTCTTTAAATTTCCATAACAAAATATGAAAAAGTTAATAAAACTTTTTAAAGTTCTTAAACTTGAAACCCACTTTCTCTGCCCAAAATTATAATTTGAGGAGATAAATACTGTATAAAACATTTATGAAATATGATTAACTGGCTTCATTTTCAGATTAGTGTAGTGATTTAATGGGTTATCTCAGCTCTAATGAGTTAGTAGCGAGTGACCCTGAAAGTCCACATATGCATCTGTGATTTTTACTCACACACAAATATGAATGCAATTGCCAATTTTCACTTAATTTATTGTTCTCTACCCCAAAGCCAACTGCTAGTGCTTATAAGAGAGGAGAGCATATATTTCAGAGGTTTTTTTTTTTTTTTTATAAAAAATCTCTAGTTTTTCACTAGAAAATAAACACATTTTTGATAAATCTGAGTGGAAAATCAAATACAGTGGAGGCTCAGAGCAATGCTGGAAACCACCAAATGCACTTAAGAGCAACAAGACAATCAGGGCCCTGTTTTAGAGACTGTTCTAGTCACTGCCAAAGTTTCATATATTATATGAAATGTGCAAATCAGAGAATCTGCAAAGATTTAAGGACGTGTTTCTTTTTTTTCTTTTTCATTTTTTTTTTGAGATGGAGTCTTGCTCTGTCACCTAGGCTGGAACGCAGTGGCATGATCTTGGCTCAAGGCAACCTCCGCCTCCCGGGTTTTCAAGCAGTTCTCCTGCCTCAGCCTCCCAAATAGCTGGGATTACAGGTGCCCACCACCATGGCTGCCTAATTTTTGTAATTTTAGTAGAGATAGGGTTTTGCCATCTTGGCCAGGCTGGTCTTGAACCCCTGACCTTGTGATCCACCCAACCTTGGCTTCCCAAAGTGCTGGAATTACAGTCATGAGCCACTGTGCCCAGCAAGGACATATTTCTTATCAACAGCAAAGGTCTGCTATAGGTAATAAACTGAATAAAAATGAAACACCAAAACCTATGAAATAACTTATTTTGTTTTCCCAAAAATGAGAATAAAAATGACTACCAAAAAAAATTTTAAGCTACATGATCTTTGAATCTGAATAGGAAATGACAAATTAAATGCAGCTGTCAAATAAAAAAAAACAGAGGGTCTGAAATCAGGCGTTCCAAGTATATACCTCACAAGCTAGTTTACAATTTAATTTTTTTCAGAGATTTTCTTCCTAGTATTACAGGTGGATAGTTTTAAATTGAATTATATTCAAATGCTTAGGTTCTATTGATTATCTATAGCTTTCACTAATCAAAGTAAGAATTGTTTCTATTGCTATTACTAAGGCTAGTATTTACCCAAAGCAAGCAACTGTCAGATATTTATTGGAAGCATTTGAATGAACTAAAAAGAATGGAAAGATCAAGGAGTCTACTCCTGAAAATCAGCTCCAGGAGCATTTAACACATAAGATAAATTTCTGTAAATCTAAAGCGTCCATCACTTGCCTTGTATAGGTCAGAATCATTTCTACACTGTTAATGAGTAAACAATTTCCTCGCAATCACAAATCCTGCTGATAGAAAGCCACCACTGTGACATTACACAGCTGTGGTGTCCCAGTTTTTCAAAACTGAGTTGGTACAACAAGCTCACTCAGCAAGCACACGTCAAGTTCTACGTGTAGAGGGGATAGCAGTACAAAAATGGGATGGCTGCTGGCCTCAGGTAGGTGACAGGCCACACCCCTAGGAAAAAGGAGACAGAGGCACTAGAAAGAAACGTGATCTGATGGTAGGAAAGAAAGAATGAGGTCCTGAGCACCAAATGGTATTTAAAATGCTGTAACTATGCTCTGCCTGGGTTGGATATATTTTTCTAAAGAAGCTGAAGTAGATAAGCAAAGTCTAATTCATCTAGCTGGAAACATTACATCTACAGCCATTCTTGCTTATACTCAGATTTATCATGCTTACCAATGAAAACAAAGTTACAACAGAAAAGCCTGAGCCAAATGTATCTCAAAAGCACAAGAGCACAATGCTACAATGCTACCCTTACCTTGTAGCCACTGGTCCAGGGTATTATCGATGGTGCACTTCACAACAGGGAGGAATTCTGAGTTCATAAAGAGCCCCCGCTTAGGGTGGTTCTGCAGCCGCTCCTGATGACTTCGGGAGCTGAAAAATTCTAACACCAACTTTATCTGCCAAAGTTCAGAAGTCTCAGACATTTCTCTTCTCCCAAGCCTTCTTATAGCCTTGAAGAGGAGAGAGGACAACGGTCCATTAAATGAAAGAGTGGAGTGCTCTGTCTCTTCATCAGTGCCGCATACTGAGTATTCTTTAAATGTGTTTCCTAATTATAGAGGCTGGAGGGCGATCCACTCTGTGTTTTGGTGCAGTCTACCCATAGCGGAGCCATCACTGGGTACAGGTGCATGGCTCACCTCCTTCAATGTGGCTCTACATGAGCAGCTTCCAGGGAAAAGTAACAAAGGTGAATGAGCTCATTCTTGGCTCAAAACCTCCGAATAACCAAGACCCAACAGGTCACAGCCAGTCACCTCTGGGAAACTCAAGCCAGGTACAATGACACGGCAGGGATCCTGGGGGGGCAGAGGGCAAGAAGAACACTACTACTAACACTGCCTTTGAGATCCATCTACAAGTCACTGCAGCTGCAACCAGAGAAGACATTCATGCATAAAGACCTGCCCATGACTGCAAAGGGTGAGGGTTCAGACAGTAAAAGAACACATTCTCAGCCAGCAACTTAAAAACACAACTCGTTATTTGGCTGCTGTGCAGAAAGGCACTGTGAGAAGCAGTGCCAGCATGGATACCATATATCCATACTTTCCAACCAAAATAGGGTGGATTCCAGACAATAATAGCTTTCTGTGCCTACTTAGTTATATTGGAACTTGGCTTTTAATTAACGATGTTATTTAACACTGTGCATTTCCTGGTTTGGGGGAATTATCCTCTGACTCAACATATTTCTCCATTCAGCTTTCCAGAAAATTATTTTACCATTAAAGGTTCTTTTTCTTAGACACTGAGTCTCAGATGCTCAGCTGTGGATTTATTATATTCACTTAAAGAGCTGTTTAAAACTTGATTCTGGATCTCACCCCAGAAATTCTGATTCAAGAGATGAGGTATAGAATTGGAGGATCTGTATTTTTAAGATACCAAGGCAAATTTTTGCCAGGTTAGAAAACTACTGGCTAGGCTTAACTGCAAATCTGGGTATAAAGAATATTGAAAAGGCATATGCATTACTAGTTTGCCTAAAGTGAATAAATTGGTCTGATTCTTTTAAGAACATTATTAAGCATTATTTTCTGCATTACCCCATTAGGCTCTCTTAAAACAGCAATAAAAAGAGAAATTTAAAAATGAACTCCAACTCCCTAGATCACTACCTATGGACTCTGTAACGTCTTGCAAGCTTCATCACCCAGGTCTAATTTCACAGTACTGCCATCGCTATGGCACTGTTTGTTCACTAACTGCTTACAAGCAGACTTCCACAAAGAGGCTTTGCCAGCAGGGAGGCAAGGATAAAATGGGAGAGAGGGAGGGAGTGCTCTCCTCCTCACCTAGTGAGAGGAAGGCAAAAGGGAGGAAAGGGAACCCTTAAAGGAAGACAGCCGCCCAAGGGGCACTTTTGTCAACATAAAGCCCAAGCTTTTTGGATTTTTGAGAGCTTTCAAATTTGTTATGGTTTCCTTTCTTAAATTTCCAAAAGCAAATGGAAAACTAAAAAGAAGGATACAAGGCACCTTAGCACACTGTTCAGTGAGTTACCTGAAATACAGGACAAATGTCACCAGAATTGGTATAGATTTTTGGATCCATACCTGATCCATTGCTATGTATGCAGGCAACATCTCTGGGGTCTCCTGGGTAACACATTCATAGAGTACTGAAGAAAAGAGATCCAGAATTTCCTGTTTCTGCAGAAAATCAGAAGCTTTTTGTAGCACAAAGTGTATTCCAAAATCCATTCAAAAACCAATTGTATAACACTACTGTGGCCCATTCTTAAGTTCTATAATGAATGACATAAGAGTAACACTACAATCTTTTTTTTTTTTTTTTTTTTTAAAAAAAAGGTATAACGCATGTAACATTAATTTAAAAAACAACCAAAATTAAGTCCCAAGAGACAGTTAAGGATAGTAAGTGCTACAGAAGAGAGACATGGACCAAACTAGGATAAAATGAGTAGATAGGACATGACAGAGGTATGCCTTGGGTTGGGCTGGGAAGAGTAGGATCCAGAAAGGAAACATAGTAACAAAGCTGCAGGAAAAAAACACTGACCAGAACAAGTTTGGGAGAGGCAGCAGAGTAAAGTCCAGCTGGGGTTAAGAGTGGGCATGAGCATGAGCTTTATCAGAGACTCGTGACCTTGCTAGCTGTGTAATCTTGGGCATGTGACATCTTTCAGTGGCAGTTTCCTCATCTGTAAGCCCAGAATGATAAAATACCTACCCTCAGGGTCACAATTAAATGACAATTAAGTTATTCACGGAGTATCCAATATATAGTAAAGATTCAATAAATATGAGAGTGGAAGGTTATTTCATTTAATCCTCAAAAAAAAAAATACTATAAGTAAGGTAGGTTCTATTATAATCACTTTTAGAAATGAGGAAACTACATTTTGGAGAGATTGAGAAATGTTCTCAAGGCCATATACACTTGTAAACAATAGGCTATCAATCCTAGATATCTAATTCTACATCCAATCTTCCCTTGTCTGTATGGTGGATTAAATCAAAGATCTGGGCCAGGCACAGTGGCTCATGCCTATACAATCCCAGCACTTTAGGAGTCCAAGGTGGGAGGATCACTTGAGCCCAGGAGTTTGAGAGCAGCATGGGCAATATAGTGAGACTCCATCTCTACAAAAAAAAAAATTAGCCAGGCATGGTGGCTACATGTCTACAGTCCCAGCTACTCGGGAGGCTGAGGTGGAAGGATGGTTTGGGTCTGGGGGTTGAGGATGCAGTGAGCCACGATCACGTCACTGCACTCCAGCCTGGGCAACAGAAGAAAAAAGAGATCCTGTCTCAAAAAACAAAAAAATAAGAAAAATCTGCTAAGCACCCTTGGAATCTTGAAGATAACAGGTGTATGAATAATAAAAAGAAGGGTTATAATATATAGAGGAAACAGTTAATGAAATTACATAAAAACAAGAGAAAGGTGGTAAACACTAAAAAAATAAAGCAGAATATGAATGGGTATCATTCTTGTACATGACAGAAACGATCATCTGTCAAAAGTAATGTCTAATAAGCTTTAAGTTGTTTCTGCTATCAAGGTAGAAAGTTACTGAATTTAATAGTTTTAGGCTATGCAACTCTGTATGTGCCAAGCAAAAATCATCCAATGTAGCACATGTCATCAATCTCCAGGATAAATATAGATAGTACAGATGTTTTTGGTGACCCATACATAGAAATAATAACCAATTCTAGTCCTGGAGCTCGTCAAACCATAGAATATATACCTGACCCATGTTCACAGTTGGCTTGCAGAAATATTCAGCAAATGACAGAAGTGCTGGATCGGAAGTGAATGCTGAGATTGTTTCTGGCTATAAAAAACAAAGAGCAACAACAACACTATAAGATAACAAAAGATTATTTTTCTTACTGCTCAAATTGCAATATATGCAGTTCTGCCTTCCCTTTGTCACACATTCCCAAAGGAGGTGCAAACTTGCTAGAGCTTCATCAACCTGTTCTGCCAAGAAGTTACAAGAAGCTTTTGCACAAGTTAACATGAGCTACTAATTTATCAAGAGGCCAATAACAAACAGTTCTTCCTGTTTACACAATTCACCCAAAAAAGGCTTTTCCCTCCTTCACTGACTAATTAAAAAGCCTACCAGAAACTAGAATTGTTACTGAAAAGTTAAGGAAAAAAAGAGTATCAGTGAAGCCAACCACAAAAGATAAATAGTGTATAAATTCACATATATGGGGTGCTTAGTATAATCGAAATTATAGAGACATAAAATAGAATGGTGGTTGCCAGGGACTAGGGGGAGTAGAATGGGGAGTTGCTGTTATAGGTACAGATTTCAGGTCTGCAAGATGAAACAGTTCTAGAGATGGATGGTGGTGATGGCCGTGCAAGAATATGAATGCACTTAATATCACTGAACTGTAACTTGCAAATGGTTAAGACAATAAATTGTGTGCATTTTACCACAATTTTTTAAACTTGGGAAAAAATAGAATATCATTCAAAGTTTCAGACTGAAAATGAAATATGAAGGTATTACTATTTTCCATTGAGGTTTATATTTTACTTCTGAACTTCCAGTAGGCAGGGAATTGAGATATCTTTTAATTTTTATATACTTTCTTCATTCAAACTCAAGTGTAAACTTACCTATTTTCTTTACAAAGTGGGTTAGAGTCTTTGAGATATGCTCTAATTTTTAGAAGAAGCAATAGTACAAATTTAAGTTAAACTTTGTCCAAATATCCTTCAAAAGTATTTCATAAAAAACTCACTGAATAGTCAAACAAAATTCACCAATGTCAACTATTTATACATTTCAATCCTGGGAACCATTATAAAGGCTCAGTCATATGTAGCTGACCTAAAGTGAAATATGAGTTGAATTCATAAACTGCTGTCTCTTTACTTGGAAGAACAAAGGATGCTAACTCAGCCCTCTGGCTGCCACTCAGCCAGTCCACCTGCCTCACTTTTGCCGTCTAATTATCCTTTAGGGTCTTAACTATTTTAGACTACTCTACTATGTATCACCAGCAGGGACACGTTTGCTCATGGAATTACAGAAAACTGAAGTTAAATTCAGAAGTCTTAATGCCTGAATATGGAAAAAAATTTCTAGTGCTGGAAACTTATCTAAATCAAGAATGTAGAGCAAAATATGTGCTGACCTCACCATGGGAATGAGATTGTTTCCTATCCTCATTTATTGTAACTATTTCCCTATTTCAAATACTACTGTACTGGCAGTAAAGTACTGTGCGAGTAATAAAGCAAACTAATGAAAGAAGTCTGAATCTGTCATCAGTTTACCCTCACCAAGGTTAAACAAACAAATGGTGGTTTTCAAATGGAGTTAATGAAAACTCTTTTTCTATTTTTACTATGAAATTAAGTAAATCTTGACCAATTTGAGGATTAATAATAAAATTACTAATCTAAATTATTTGTTATAGTGTCAAGATATAGTGTGACTGTCCTTGCTGCTAAATGTAGATCTTAACTTAGACTGACCCATATCTTATTATGGCCATCACATGAAAAGCAAATGGAGCCAAGGTCAATCAGTCTTTACAATCTGCAACAATGAAAAAGGAAGCAGATCCACCTTTAAAGTTCATAGCAATGGGCGAGGAAGCTAGCAATTTATAATTATTCTTTGCATTTTTACCAATCAATAATACTACCTTGAAAGCCCGGGCTTCAGAGTTTCTGTTAGCAACAGTCTGCGCCAACAAACTTTGCCACCCCATTGGATCTTCTTTGTAGGAGAGCTGACCTGCCCTGAGTTTAACATATAAAACCCCATCCTTGGAAAGAATGGACCTGAAAGAAAAAGGAATCAATTTATATAAGGTATTATTGGCAGTTCTTGGCTGGAAACATAGTGTTTTCCAATACCATGTTCACAGGAGACGAAACTTTTACCATTTTCCACTAAGGTAAATGATTATTTACTGTTTCTAAGATTAAATCAGTACCTATGAGAAAGCCTAGAATAAAGTTTTATTTTTCTCTGGTGGCTAGAATCATGGAACTTGTTGAAGAAAAGATACTTTGACTATTGGCTCAATTGTGAGCATCAAAGGTAGCATTTTATCTAATATTTCTTTGTATTCCCTATGTCCCCCAGCTCTATGCCTGGGGCACATGAGGTACTAAATATCTATTAATTGGTTTGCAGCAAAAGGAAAATAATGCTGCAAGTCTAAGGACAGAACAATACAGAAAACAGCTAATATACAGATAGTCTGGAAAAACACACATTAGAACCAAACTATAAAAACTTTTACATGCTTGTTAAACTTCCTAGAAATTTAAAGACAACTGACATGTTACTTTAGGTATAAAATAATCAACACTCTAAAATAACTGCGTGTGATTATTTCCACTGGAAATAAACTAGGTGAATAGTATATATTATCTACAACAATCTTAATTTTAGGAGAACTTTCTAACAGAAGAATGGTAAAGAGATGCAACAGATGATGTGATCTGACAAACACTGATTGATATAATAAAGTTCCTTTTGTGGATGGACAAATGAGTTTTACTTTCTGACATGATTAGGCTCTGTGTCCCCACCCAAATCTCATGTCAGATTGTAATCCCCACGTCAGGGGAGGGACCTGGTGGGGGGTGATTGAATCATGGGGGCAGATTTCCCCCATGCTGCTCTCATGATAGTGAGTGAGTTCTCATGAAATCTGATGGTTTAAAAGTGTGGCACTTCCCCTTCACTCTCTCCTGCTACCCTGGCAAGACATGCCTTGCTTCCCTTTCGCCTTCTGCCATGACTGTTAAGTTTCCTGAGGCCTTCCCAGTCAGGCAGAACAGTGAGTCAATTAAAACCCCTTTCTTTATAAATTACCAAGTCTCAAGTAGTTCTTTATAGCAGTGTGAAAATGGACTAATAAACTTTCTTAAACTAAATCTTATGTTAATATATCAAGAGATAAGTCCATTACTGTCACAAATCAGTGTAAGTTTCTCAATAAATAAATACACCTATTTAGGGTTTGATTTCAAAATTAAAACTTTCATTTTCTAACACAAGTCCTGTTTCAAAGATACAGACTGCTTTACAGAAGATACACCCTACATATTGTCTTGGATGAGATTAAAGGGTGATGAGTCACATTCTGGATAATAATCTGTAATTAATACCTTCCTATATACTTCTATTCACTTCCCAAAATGTGTATCTCAGAAATTCAGTGTACTTACTTCAAGTGTTGTGTTCCTTTGCTTAAATCTATGAGCAGTTCCCAGTATCTTGGGCCTTTAACTTTAATCTGCCAAGACAAACGTAAACACAATCAAGCCAAAGCTGAAAAACATGCTCATGTGACAAACTGAAACCTGTTTCTCAGAGGAAACAATAACAGCCAGAAAGAGGCATAAGGAAGTTAACAAGCTTCGTTTCCAGACAAAAAATGAATGTAAATCATGTTCTGAGGCCACCTAAGCTATCAATAAAGATCTGTAAGACAAGACTTGCTCTATTCTTCCTGACTTATCCTCCTGCTGCAGCTTTCTTATCTGCTACCACACATGAAGAAAGCAACTTACCTGCTTCAAAAGATGGAGTTCTGGAAGAAGGGTAGGAGCCATCAATTCTTCTTTGGTTTGTTCGTACCACTGAGTGCCCTTTACAAATGTAAAAGTCCAGCCACAATTCACTAGGTAGTCAGTGGAAACAACAAAGAAACATCTCCACACTATACCACCCCCATCCCCGCAGTTCATACAGAGACCTTTAAATGGCACAAAATCCTCTCTGGTACTCAAATTTTTGTCTAAATTCCTCACAGTGTGTCACTTCCCACCCCGTCAAGCCTTGCTCCTCACAGGCCAGCAGGACCGAAGGCTGTGCTCCAATGCTGATGGGTTTCCGCACATTGCCCTCTCCACTGGGAAGGAGCTCCACTCAGTGGCCAGCCCTAGTTCAAACACTGTCCACTGTGACAGCCTCCTCAACCCCATAGCTAATAGCTAAGTGAGGATGCTTCTCCTCTGCTTCCCCCGCGTTCCACACACATCTCCAATTATCACACTCTATTCTCATTGTATCCATGCCTGGCTCCCCAGGGGACAAAAGTTCCTTAAGGAATATGACAATGTCATTTCATTTTGTACCCCAGAGCCTAGCACAGTTTTCATTCACAGAAGGTACTTAATAATTTCCTGAATAAAAGAAGGACATACAACTTGTAATCTATTTGTGCATCTAAATAAAAGCTCTCATCAAATCACAGTTTTGAGTTTTAAAGTATTCAGCTAACAAATCTAAGAATGGGTCTAAATCAATTAGTTTTATTGAACACTACTGTTGGTCATGTAAAGTTAACAGGGACATTTTCAAACTATAAGCTCTAACGACAAAAGAGTAGCAGATAATCCCTAAAAAATGATACCCAGAGAATATAAATAAGCATGAATGGCCTGGCAGTATACACAACAACTTTGGAAGCTTCCATTTTTATATAAGTCCAACTCACTACTTGTCACCTTTTACTGAACAACACATTTGAAATATTATGACCTGCAAAGATGGATGAGAGGTAATAAAATTACAAGTAAATGACAGGGAGAGATACCTTGTAGGTAACTTCTAAGAGGGCATAGCAGGGCGTGTTTGTGTCCACATCGACGGGCACTAGAAGCCTAGGCTCTGCGGCCAACACATAGAGGTGCCGGAGAGCCTGGAGATGATACCTGCTCACAAAACAGACGGGTTGTGGGGGGAACAAACGAGTGTGACAATACGAGCTCTGCAATCTGCTGTTGCCCATAAGCTAAGACAGGACAGAAGCTCAAGCAGTATCTTCAAATCAACAGAAATCTAGAGACAGATGAGCTTCTACTAAAAAGTAATGGAGAAATTATCTTTTAAAAATTCTATATAACTGATCTCTGACCCAATAATTCTTTACTTTAGTCTTTACAGTGAAGAGGTTTTAGAGGAAGGTAAAAAGTATCAGAACATGAAAATATTTACATTGATCACTTATAAAATCAATTACTCTCAAATATCCCTTTCTACTTAACACAGGCATCTCTTTTTATCTTCTAAGAGATTTATTTCTCTTTTTTTTTCTTTTTCCTTAAGGATAGGGAAGAAGAGGGAAGACAGGATGTTAATTCTTCTCAGACAGCAAAGTTCTACATACACGCTTGCACACACACACGTCCTTGAAATATCAAACATCTATGTGGGTATGGCAGTATTTTTCTTTTGGGTTCTCAAAAAGTTTTTTACACTAAGATTTCTATTTTACAATGTAAAAACAAAAAAGTTTTTATATTTTAAGATCTCATAAGAAAAGGACAGGCTGGGCACAACGGCTCACACCTGTAATCCCAGCATTTTGGGAGGCTGAGGCAGGTGGATCACCTGAGGTCAGGAGTTCAAGATGAGCCTGGCCAACAAGATAAAACCCCGTCTCTACTAAAAATATAAAAATTAGCGAGGACTGGTGGCACATGTCTGTAATCCCAGCTACTTGGGAGGCTGAGGGAGGAGAATCACTTGAACCCAGGAGGCAGAGGTTGCAGTGAGCTGAGATTACATCACTACACTGCAGCCTCGGCAACAGAGCAAGAATCCATCTCAAAACAAGAAAAAAGAAGAATAAAATAAGACTTCAATTTTAAAAAGCTTTATAGACAACAACTTCCTTCTTATTCAAATACATTTACTTCTATAAATCTATTAAAAATAAAATCAATAAAGATCAGAAAAAACTGACACTAATAAATTACCCAGAGATCTTGTCACCAAATGGCTTTGTTTACGATAGCTAAGCCAAACAGCTATGACCAGCAATATGTGAGTATGGCTCTCCACTGTACCCTAGCCAATAACTGGCTTTAACAACTCAAAATATCTTTCCTAAATGACAGGCATGAGGGCCACATGTCAGAGGTGTATTAATTTAACAATATTCTTATGCTGCACCTACCATCAGAGTATGGATTTCAGATTAGGCTACTTTTGTAAAACAGCTATCTTTCTTCTGTCCTTGGTTATACATTATAGTGCAGTTTAAAATGATGGCTTAGGGTACTGTGGTAAGTGCTCCTGACCCTTCTCCCCTAAATAATAAAGGGCTCTTGATCTGTCTTTGGGCAGACAATAGGGGATGTCTTCTGTTAAGCACAGTGCTTAGGTGTCTTATAAGGGGCTATTTTCTTCCCTTCCCCCACCTACAAGAGTTCTGCTATATCTCAAACTACATCTAGGGAAACTGAGGTATTGGCGGTTCCTTATATCCTAAAAGGCAAAGCTTTTAACTGCTTCTACGTGGTTTGAAGTTCTACTCCTCACTGCCACTTCTCAAATGTCTCTGATTTTTTGCTGTATTTTGCTTTTCTTGTCCCTTCTATGTCATTTATACAAAATGTCTCAGCATTTATGTGAAAAGAAAAAAAAGGAACTCATACAGACACTGCCACTAAATTAGACAAATTTTTCTCTTGAAATTAAATAATTATAGCACAAAAAAGTATCCTGAACTTCCCTGGGCAACTACCCTTTATCTGATGATTTTTTTGCCTAAAGACAACTTTATCTGACCTCCTTCTGGGTTTAGAGCAGTTCTATAGATCTGAGAATGGCGGAAGACTGGTCAGTCATCAGGTGTCCAAAGTTTTCCTCTGGTCTAATACTTTGTGAGAGAATCTACTTAAAAGATTTAGCCAGGAATATAACTAAGTTCAAGAACAGAGCAATGCTAATTTGGAAATACTTCATGAAACCAAAACACAACCAAAGGATCCCAAGAACTTAAGAAGTAGTACATTGAGGACAGAATCACTAGACTCACCGGTTGTCAGTGCTGTGAGCTGGGAAGTGTGGGTAAAGGGCACAGAGAAGAGCGGCAATGGAAGAATTTGATGTGCTCAAAGAGTACCTGCAAAGTAAGTTTGCAGGTTATATTGCACATACTTTCAAGGCATTCTTGAGAACCAGGAAACTGGGGTATAGTAAGGCATACTGATAAGATGCCCTCAAAACACAAGAAGGTCAATGGTGTGAACATTCCACTTTTCATTTAGTCTTTAGGCCATTTCAAGATCATCACTACTTAAAGCCAAAGTAATAACCCATAAATGTTAAATTTCAACACTTAAAGCAAGGTTTTACCTAAAATAACACAGTAGTGAAGACCATGAATGCAGTCCTAGAAATTATAAATATTGAAGAGTCATGTATAAAGTATGCTACCTTCTTATCCAATTTTATTAATATATATGCCTATTTATACAGTTATAAATCTGACTTTCAAAAATATAGGATATTTTAGTTGGTATGTAAATAGTTTTTTCTGTTTCTGTAAAGCATGAGGATTCCTTTAGAATGACTGATTAAATGAAAGAGCAAAAGTTATTACTAAAAAGTTACAATGAATGTATAAACAACTATTCCTCTAAATATAAATTCTTTTCTTACCAATATGATAAACTTTTAAGATAAAGTTTTATAGACTTTTAAAATATTCTCTTAGTAAAGGATCTATTGAAATTTTCCTTAAATTAATTTATTGTTGCTCAAATTTAGTACAGCAAACAGGCAAATTAATCTAAAGTTCCAGAGTTTTTCTAAAAAATATTTTGAAATAAAGATGGCATAGGACATCATATAAAACCACTTCTAGAACTACTGAATATAAATACTTTTATTACACACAAATATGCACACATATATACCCAAATCTCTTTCCCTGGTTTTTAAAATAATTAGAGTATTAAATAAGAACTTAGAATTCATTATATATGTCCATATATTTAATGAATTAGAAAGAAGAGATTTCAAAAATTATGCAAGGAAATAACATCTATTTTGGCATGTGCATGGAATAAGCCATTTTCTCTGTACCATTTTGATAAACCAAAATTCAAAGATAAATATTAAGATATTAATGTTAGAAATTTTAGGTAGAAACATAATGGTGTAGCTATGATAAATTTAAATGTTGTTACAGAGTATACATGACCATTTAAAAACCAAAAATCACTAGGAGAGCAGTAGCAGAATGGTAGAAAAATCTATTCGGTATGAAAGAATAAAAAGGGGAGTCATGCAGTTTGGAACAATGAAAGATGGGATTGAGTAAGGCATGCAGAGGCTCATTTTGAAAGGAAAAAAATTTCAAAAATCATAAAATAGAATAAAATAAATAAGAATTTCTGTAGTACTATTTCTTTAACCATTATTAATTCTAAACAATTAAAGAAAGACAATTCCACAAAACATGTTGAGAGGAAACACACGCCTTTCTGATCATCTTTACTTTTTGTACTTCTGGAAAGGTGAGTTCCAAGAGTGAGCTCAGTCTTAAAACAAGAGGGGGAAATAAGCCTATGTCACTCGTAGACACTGTAGCCATTGCTATTGACCAAGGTCACACACGCTAGAGCTAAATAAATGCAGCAGTATACCATATTCACAGAATAGAAGACAATACTGTAACAGATTCTAATCTTCCCTAACACAGGCACACACAATCAAGGCAATTCTGTTCAATATTTTATCAGGTTATTTAGTATGGAAAATGACAGATTCCAATATTTATATGAATATGCAAAGAGCCAAGAAAAAAACCACACTTTTGAAGAAGAAAACCCAGGTTGAAGGATTTACTCAACTGGATACCAAGATTCATAAGACAGTGTAGTATTGGTGCAAGTACAGAAAAATAGACCAGCAGAACCTAATAGCCCAGAAATAAACACAGGTGTATAGACATTTAACTTATATGATAGAGGTGGTACTGCAGAGCAGTGGAGAAGGATAAACTTTTCAATAGCAGTGGAAAAAAAAAATAGAGAAAAATCAGTGCCAGGTAGATTTTAGATCCAAATATGAATGGAAAAGCTAAGAACTTCTAGAAGATAAAATATAAGAACATCTCCTTTTCTCTGGGTAAGAAAATATTTCATAAGCAGTACAAAAAAGTAAAAACCATAATAGGAAAACATTAATAATTATGTCATCAAAAGACACCAGGGAGAGAGTGAACAGGCAAATATAAGCCCTGGGGTGGCAAAGATAACTGCAACATACAAAACTGACCAAGGGCTTAGGACATAGTTTAAAGAATCCATGCACATCAACACAAAGCTAAACCAATGTGGAGCAGTCAACCGCATCGAAACAGAAAGTAGAATGGTGGCTGCCAGAGGCTGGTGCACGCATAAACAGGGAGTTGTTTAACGGGTACAGTGTGCCAGTTGTACAAGATGAAAAAGTTCTGGGGATTGGTTGCACAACAATGTGAATATACGTCACACTACTTAACTGCATACTTAAAAATGGTCAAGATGATAAATTTTATGTTATGTGTATTTTACAACAAATAAACATTTTTAAATAGATAAATATAAAAACTGGGTAGCAAGAGACTCGGACATCACAAAAAAAGTTTTGCGGTTGGCTATTAAAAGTATAAAATGGTACTCAAGAACATTATTCAGAAATATAGAAATTAAAACCACAGTGAGATACTGTCATATACCTACTAGTTAGCTAAAAGTAAACAGACTATAACAATAACAAGGGTTGACAAGGATATGGAACAACTGGAACTTCACATCCTGCCCATGAGTATGTAAAATGGTACAACTGCACTGCAGCCCTGATGGCATTATTCACTGAAGGCGAATTCATATGTAATTATGATTTCACACACAGATCTATATACAACAAATCAAAGGCATGTACAACTTTCCCTAACAGCATTGTTCCTAACAGCCCCAAACTTGAAGCAAGAAGCATATCCATCAATGGGGGAGATCAATAAAATGTGGTACAGTCATATAATGATATGTAATACAACACTGAAACTTGAATAATCCATTGCTACATACAACAGGCATCTTACAAACAAAATATTGAACAAAAGTAAAGTGCAAAAAGCCACATTGTATATAATTCAATTTAAATATCAAAAACAGGCAAGACCAACCTAAGGTGTTATGAGACTGGATAGTAGCTATCTTTGGGGAGAGAAAGATAATAGTAATTGAGAGGGGTGCGTGGCAGAAGCAGAGACGGGTGTTGCGAGTCGCGAGTGCTATATGGAATCTTGATCTACATGACAACAAAGAGATTTTTCTATGGTAGATAGCTCTTTGACCAGTACCTATGATTTGTACACCTTCTGTATATATGTATTTATTCATTACAGATCATCTAAAGCCAGTACAGTCTTATAAAGGACGTAGTGAGGAATGGCAGATGTTGGAAAAAGAGCAACAAAGTTGAAAACTAAGAAAATGTCACAGGATCTGGTAAGAAATGATTTTTTTTGTAACCTTTTTGAGAAAGTAGCTTAGTGGAACAGTAAAATTTTTAACCAGTTGGGCATAGCAGTGATGCACTGAAGCACTGAGCACAGACTATTCTGAGAAATACAGCGATGCTCAGTGTCAGAGAGGATGCTAATTCTACTGAGTACACCATAAGTTGACAGTTAAACAATAAAGAAGCCCACCAAGTGGAACAATGCTGCTAGATGAGCTAAGAGCTAGTAAGAGTTTTATTTTTCATCTATCTTCAAGATCAAAGTAAGTCACCCTTATAGATCTCACCAATGAGATCTTTGCATTGGAAAAAATACATATTCATTTACCTTCCTCCTCCCAAAAATAGAAGTCCAAGAGCCATGTGGTGGGCTAAGTGAAAGCCATAGTTCATTTCACCACCCGTTTTCATGTGTAAGAAGCGACAAAGCTGCAAAACCTTTAGGTTTCCGGAGCCAGCCATGACCATGGCGAGAGACAGCAGCACCACACTCAGACAAGTTTCTAGGTTGTAAGGACCTGTCTATAAGGTGAAGAGATGACGTCACTGTAACAGTTGTGTTACACTTCTTTATTACCAGAATTAACTTAGCCATCATTAGAAGACTACAAAAGTTTGTAACTTAAAAAAAACTCTGTAAATACAAACATTTTCCCTGATTATGAAATATAAGTTCAATGGAAATAATGTCAAATATTGAATATCGAGAAGGCATAACAATCACTTGGAATGTCACACCCAAAGATAATTGGTGTTAACATTTTGGCTTTTTCTCTGAATTTTTCCTTTATCTACACATATTTTTTCCAAATGAAATTGAGATGTTGCTCTACACAATATTTTTTTAACCTTTTAAATAATTATAAGCAAGCTTCACTTACAAAAAAGTTGTGTTTTTTTATTTTGTTTGTTTGTTTGTTGAGACAGGGTCTCTCACTCTGTCACCCAGGCTGGAATGCAGTGGCACAATCTCGGCTCCCTACAGCCTCAGCCTCCTGCGGTCAAAGGATCCACCACCTCAGCTTCCCAAGTAGCTGGGACTACATGTGTGTGTCACCACACCCAGCTAATTTTTTATTTTTGTAGAGATGGGGTTTCTCTATGTTGCCCAGGCTGACTTCAACCTTCTGGGTTCAAATGATCCTCCCACTTCAGCCTCCCAAATTTGCTAGGATTATAGCATGAGCCACTGTAACCAGCCACAAAAAAATTCTTATATAACATGATTTTGGTAGCTCCACTGTATAAGAATGTATAAATAAGCCATAATCAAATTTAATTAACTATTTTTAGACTTTGACATTTCTAATTTTCTATATTATAAATAGTGTTGCATAAATCTATGTAGTTTTTGCCAGGAAAGAAAATCTCTTAGTTTTGTCATCAGAGAAGCAATGCTTCAAAAGCAACTGATTCCTTACTAAATACTAATAGTTTTTAAAAAGGAAAATTCCCAATATTTAATACTGAGACAGAATTACATGAGGTATGACAATCCACGAGTGTTATGGCCTTTCTTATTCTCTTGTCACAAGGACTAGAAACCTGTGCATCCTTCTAGGGTAATCATACTCTCGTCTAATTTAATATCCCAAAACAAAAATAAAAAGGTGAGCTAATGGTTATTCAAATCTCTTGTTCTACATTCAAACAAACAGCAGGGATATCTGACAATACATAAGTAACTGGATTACCGGTAAGTTTTTTTCAAGTTTAATTTTATTCCCAAGGAGAATGATAAAAAGACTTACAACAGAAGCATTAGGTGCAGACAAATAAGTCATAAAATCTTTTGCAAATTTATGCTAGAAAAACAAAAGAAAAAATTCAAAGTTAAAAGAAGCATCTTAAGGCTTTGTTAAAATAACACGAAAAAGAACACAGTAAACTAAAATAGTTCTTACCAAACAGTTAAATGCTGACAAGTTTTCTGAGCCAGCAAATCGAAAACCCAGAGACAAACAGGCTCCTGCAATTATGTAGACATGTGCTTGCCTGAAAACAGGTGACAAGAAATTTAATAGTCATTATTTTACTTTAAAATTAATTTGAGATAAGTAACAATGAATATTCCAGTTCTCTAAGCTAGCGTATATCTTTCTGGGAATGATCAAGTGTGCCTCTTCTCAGTCAGCAGATTTCTATATTTTTTTTTTTTTTTCAGCACAAGCATCAGGTCACCTTTATTTAAAAAGTTTGCCCCTTACCTATAGTTTCATATGCAACAAAAACAATTTTTAAAATTGTTGCCAATTTTTTAATGGAAAGGATAAAACAAAAATACATACCGTACAAGTTACATCTCCAATATTGCTTTTTGAGGGCAAGAGCTCTATACTTCAGAGAGCTTTAACCAACCTCATGAACCTCTGATAAATAATGGTGAGAAACGTGTGGGCTTCGGAATTACTCAAATCAAAGACAACAGTACTCCTACATACTATATTTCAATTTATTTATCTGATAGTTGCTAGAATAGCTAATTTGCATTATACATCACTTACGACAAGGTTTCCAAATTCAAATCCTCTGAGCAAGGCAATTCGATTTCACTGAGAGAGATGCTATTTTCTCTTATAATCTGTCAACATAGAAAGCAAGAATACTTGGATATCAATATTCTAGTTATAAATATTTAATAATCTGAAGAATAACATACTGCTTATCATGGCCATATTTATATAAA